GTGTGTGTGTGTGTGTGTGTCCTGCCCGGTCTGTAGAGATGGCCACTAGCCATAGGCAATAACTGCTGCTCAAATCTTATGCAACCCACACACTTACTGGCCTCATGTGCCATTCTAGAGTGGTCTGCCCCAGCGGTCACTATTTAGAACCCTGTCAGAACTCCACCTCCCATTTCCTTCCTCCCTCCAATACATACGGATGAGCATCATTATGAGAATAGACAAAATATAACAGGAATATACCTCCGCCTTTGCTCTGCCTCCTTTCATAGTGTGCAAGTGGGCCGTTATGCCACACGGAGATGTGCGAAGCTTTTTGCTCAACCACAATGAACGTGGTGAGCCTTGTGCATGAGAGGCACGGTAAAGGGGGAACTGCAATAACAAATTAAAGGGGTACCCTGAAGAAAGCAAATGTGAACACAGTCAAGAAAAGGGTTTACAACTTTACATGCAGCTATTGGACTTATGTTGCTTGCTATTGAGGTGAAACTGTTTCATCGTTGGGTTGTCTAAACTTAAGGGCTTTCGTTGTCTGTAATGGGATTAAATATGCTTTGATTTTGGATCTGTTCATCTGGGTGGAATAGGGGCTGTTGAGGTGAAAATCCAACACACACACACACACACACACACACACACACACACACACACACACACACACACACACACACACACTCCTGATGAGTCGGTGAAAATAAGACAAAACAGTGTGTGTGTGTGTGTGTGTGTGTGTGTGTGTGTGTGTGTGTGTGTGTGTGTGCGCGCGCGTGTATGTTCATTGCGAGGATATGTGGGAGGTTGAGATATGTATGCTTGGCCTGAACTGTTTCTTTGTGACAGGGTCGTCGCACCATGTTGGGTTGCATTGGATGAGGTGATGGATCCCCAGAACTTCGGAGCAGTTCTCAGGAGTGCTTACTTCCTGGGCGCAACAGGCGTTGTCACATGTGCGCGCAATTCTGCACCCCTCAGTGCTGTTGTCAGCAAAGCAAGCTCAGGTGCTATGGAAGCCATGCAGGTACGTACACGCTCTGAGTTGTTAACAGCCTCCCACATGCACATAGTCCTCGCTACCTTGCCCTCGTTGGCTAGCTAGAGCTAGGCCCATGGCTGTTGCCAACGGAACTGAAATGATGCCTGCGTAGCCGAATAGCCATAGCCGATAGCCATAGCCGAATAGCCATAGCTGAATACCCTTAGCCAAGTTGCTATCCGTCGGTAAGCACTCATATCGTGGTGTGATCAGCTGGGAATTTCATCCATCCATTTTCTTGAAGTGGGATGGCAGCGAATCCAGTGACGCATTTGCCATGGTTGTGCAAAACGATCAACATGCAATGAGGGGCATCTATGTGGATCTGGTGGATGGGTGAGATTGCAAGTTGATCCTTAAAAAGAAAGAGCCATCAACTGGTGAGCTCCTCCATCAGAATGCGGAAATCGGAAGCCCCACAATTGTTTCAGGTCTTTGGGATTTGGGCCAAGTGTGCACTGCGACGATTTTCGCAAGTATTACAGGCGTGCACGTGGGGGCCCACATGTTACAGGCTGGTGTGCTGCCCTGTAGTATCCAGTGTGCCAGGCGTAGGATCCAATGGCCCAGCAGTGCTGAACAGGCAGAATGGAAGGCAGTGCCCAATGGCACAGTGATACAGAACGTGGGCTGCTACTGTTGACGTTGGGCCCGATTATCCGGGGCTGTACAGAACATGGGCCACAGTGCCAACTTGGTGAGAAGTATGTTGGGGCAGTAGTGTCCATCATGAGTTACCTTGAGGGGCGGCCTGATACTGTCGTAGACACAGCTGCCCCCCCCGTCCCCGTCCTCCTCCCCCCACCCTCCAACTGCCCCCTGTTTTCGCTGTTTTTTTTAATTTATTATTATTATTATTATTATTATTACACTCGTCCTGTCCACCCCACTGTCCTTGATTTGTTGGTCCTTTGATGCGGTCCTTGTGGTCAAGTTTTTTTAGCTCTTTCCTATGACGTTGGTGTGCTTGAAGTCAATCTTTTTTTTACGACAGTAAACGTTATCATTTTTGTCCCTCACAGTTCACTGTTCTTGCGTGTTTGCCACCTCCTCCATCTCTGTCTGCGTCCTTCGTTTTGGTCATCCATCTCTTCTTTTTTTTTCCCCTATGAAGATTGTGCAGGCTGAGGTATAGGCAGGCCCTCTGTCCACCTCTCTTCTCATACCAAGCACACACACCTACACACACCTCGCGATGAGTCAGTGGAAGTTTGACGAAACAGTCTGGCACAGTCACCGCTTTCTTTGAGGAGAGTTTTTAGCAAATACACACATATACTTCCCCCTTTACTCTGGCTCCTTTCACAGCGTGCAAGTGGGCCGTTATGTGGGCAGCTCGCACACAACCACAATCAATCTGGCGAGCCTTGTACATGAGAGGTAGAGTAAAAGGGGGGCTGCAAAGCCTGCAAGGACAAATAAAAAGGGTACCCCAAAGAAAGCCAAACCAAAGATAGTCAAGAAGGGGATTTAAGTTCATTTAACGGACCTATTGTGCTTCACGTTGCTTGCTTTAGAGGTAAAAAAATTGTTTCATTGTTGGACTGGCTCATCTCAAGTGTGCTTCATTGTTAACAATAGAGATCAAGCTGCTTCAGTTTTGGATCTACTCCATCTGCATGGAACAGGCGCTGTTGTCGTGAAAATTTAAAACACGCAGACTTACTGCCGTTCTTCTCAGGGGTTTGGACCGACAGTCTGCTACGATTGGAGGGTTGGTGTGAGTAATGTCGACCACTTTTCTCAGGGGTATCGGCAATGATCCGCTCAGGTTTACTCTCCACACAGCATGCACAGTGGAAGCTCACAATAAGATTCACACAGACCACATATGGAACACCAAATCAGCGCAACTCAGAAGCTTGAATGAATACTCATAAATCACAGTATACGAATTCGGAGTTCATATAGCCAGCGTTCATCAGCGCAGCCAACAACAAACTCGATCAGGTATGTAACCAAGCTTCCTCCTCATGTGACTCTCTCCCTCTCTCTCTCTCTTCCTCTCTCACTGACTTCTCTCTCAACTCTTGTATTGCTCTTCCTCTCGTCTCTCTCCCCCTGTGTGCTACTACTTTGATCGTAACTCTGGATGCATCCGCCTTCCTCCTATTGCAACTATGTGTACAGCGGCTATGGCCGCCAGTTTTCCTCCTCAACCCTAGCACCACCCAACAGGTCCTCTGGCGCGTCGCCCAAGTTGTGATGCTTCGCAAGCAAGCAGCAGCACTTCCGCATTCTCACGAATGAACAGTGTATCGTGATCTGCACTGTATATCAGCTAGTAATAGTAGCTTGACTTGGCCTTCGTCTGCTTCTGACTGGTACGGGTCGCCCGCGGCCTGTCTGCTGCCTGACTTTTGTTTGCCCGGTACCTTCCGGACCTTTCCTGGGACGCTGCTGGAAAATCGGACTTTGGGCCTGGACTCTTGTTGTCGGGTACCGGTTGGACTTTTACCGGTCTGATTTGGCACTGACCCGATATGCCCACGACGCTTCGAATATCTACAGACCCTGGGACCCTACGAATCCTACTGGGACAGGTGGGACCAGGACCATATGGGAATGGGACAATTTGGGACTCTGGAACCGGGACAATTTGGGACCCTGGAACCAGGACAATTTGGCACCCTGGAACCGGGACTTGGGTGTCTGCAACGTGAAATCCTTTCAGCTAACTCTGGGCGATGTGGTGAGTCCTTATCCATCAGTCAAATGCATCGTAGGCAGCCTGTCGGGTTTCAACCTCCTGATGCGTCGGTGAAAGTCCGACGAAACAGTCTGGCACAGTCATGCTTTTTTTTAGTGTATAACGAATATGACAGCACACACACAATGGCTGTGGTAGACTCGTTTCCCAGACTTGCTTTCATTGCTGTGAGGGGTTTGGATCAACAGATTGCTAGGATTGCAGTGAAGTCGACTGCTTTTCTCAGGGGGGTCGCTAACTTTGGGCGATGTGCCGAGTCCTTATCATTCGCTGAAATGCATCCTAAGGTTCAATGTCCTGTTGAGTCAGTGAAAGTTTGATGAAACTGTCTGGCACAGTCATACTGTTTCTTGTGGAGTCGAGTATTGTGTAATGAACCCAGTCTGGCAGATACTCATCAGACGTCAAGGCACAAGAAGTCTCAGATCTGCACAAAGTCTCCAGTTAATGTGAAGTGATATCTGAAACAGTATCTCGTTACCAATAGACGAAGAGAGTGGAGGGAGGAGAGACAGAGGAGAAGGTGGAAGAGATAAACAATGATCACACAAGAGTAATCCAATCAAACCCCACTTCTTCTCCGGGCTTCCTCTTGCCTCCACGTCATCAACCAGTATACGATAACAAGTATGATAAGTCCTGATCACCCAGAAGTGCCATGTGGCACTCTTATCTCGTGAAGACTATGAGGACAACAGCAGAATACGGTAACAACGTCAACCTCAGGTGAGTACCCGATCCCAATCATCCACAGATCCCGATCTCCCTCCTTGTTGCAACCAGTCACCTCATGTAGACAGCGTGGCCAATGCCACGTCAGATGTAGAGACAGGTGGCAGCGCCACATCAACAACACAATGTAGACAGGTGGCAGTGCCACTTCAGCAATGTAGACAAGTGGCCAGCGCCACATCAGCAACGTAGACAAGTGGCATGCACCACATCAGCACTGCAGACAAGTGGCATGCGCCACATCAGCAATGTAGACAAGTGGCATGTGCCACATCAGCAAGGAAGACAGGCGGTAGCGCCACATCAGCATTGCCTGGCGCACAAGAACGCCAGCATGCTGTCACAGTCCAGCGTCGTCGTCCACAGTGCCTGCGCACAGCCAGTGTCGAGCCAGCGTCGAGCCAGCATCAATGCCAGCGTCCAGCCAGAGTCGAGCCAGCGTCAAAGCAGCATGGCAAGACTGAATGTTGACTCCCTGGAGACCCAGCCTTAAGTAGTGTTTGACGAGGCTTTCGGGCCTCAGGTCTCCTTCCCACAGTCGTACAGGTTGACTCACAGCCGCGGGCCTGGATTGTACAGTTGCAGATTTCCCCTTGGTCCTGATGCTGTCTGGGTACCTGCATACAAACAAGTGTGTGCGTCTGACTGGCGGCCTAGGCTGGGTACGCTTTGACTTTGACTGTTGGGGATCCGACAGTTGACTTTAGGCAACTGTAACTCGCCCAGGCCCTGAATCCTTATGTGGGGTTATTTTGCCCCTTCAGCCTGGGTCTGAGTGCGGCTCGGTAATGCCCTCAGACTTTCCACGAGGCATACAGCATGGGTTATTGCAATTGCGAATATGCCCATGCATTTTCTTTCTTCTGTGGAGGTGTGCACAGTGAACATGACTGGACAATCATATTACCTATGTTTTTTTCCTCTTGATCTAAGTACCTTCTTTACACTGTCCATATTCCTTCCTTGGGCTCTCCTCAGAGCCCGAGTGTACCACCTTTAAGATGTGCCAAATAGTCAGTGCCCGTGTTTTAGAAGAGCTTGCAACACTATTAAGGAGGCTGCTGTGTTTAGGATGGTTGTGTGTCGTTTGATCCTTGGTGATACAGACATTCGTCAAAGTGACTCCCTGACTCTGATGGTGGTGTCAACTGACAGTTTGCGGCGTTCTACTTTTGGTGTGAGGAGGTGATTATCTGCTTTGGTCACTGCCGTATGAGCGGGACAGGGCCACGTTGTTGTTGCTGCCCCGCTGCCTGGATGCCCATCCACTTGCCTTATGTTGCCTTTCTGCTCTCCCGCATGCCTTTGTGTTGCCCTGGTACCCTGCGGCTTGGTTTTGCGTCCGGCCTTGCCTTGCTGCCCGTATTGCTGCTTGCCCTGTTGCCCACTTGCAGATGACTGTTACTTGTCATGCCGGCCTGCCCGCCCTCTTACTGCCCTGCTGCCTGTCTGCATATCGGCTTGCCTTGTGTTGCCTTGCTGCTTACCTGTGTTTGCCTTTGTGCCCGCTTGCCTACCGCCCCCTGCCTGCCATTTGCGTCAC